CCAAATGGAAAATATATCAGAAAAGGAGAGAAATGAGGGCTTTCACATAAACTGTCTATAACATAGGTAAAATTTCAATAAAACCAGTCTTCAGCGCATAAACCTCATCTCGGTGTTAAATAAAAATAAATGAAAAAGGTCTATGTTGATGTATCATTATTTCATGTTACATAATAGTCCCAAACAAACACACTGTTTAACTATGAGGCTTGTAGAAATACTATTCGCTTTATTCACATAAATACAGAAATGCAGAAATGTTCTAAGGTAGCATAAGCATCTTAGTGGAAATAATATAGATTTGAGCATTTTACATGATATATATGTACTGACTCAAAATTTGGAAAAGTAATTACATAGTAGAACATATGTATGAATGTGAAAGCAAGATGAATGAAAGAAAAAGAATGTGAGTCTCAGGGATAAAGGTTCAGATGGAAAGGGCAAATCAGGGAGTTTTGGAGAAATCGAGAAATTGATGGCATGCCAATTTCCAAGGCTGGGTTGCTTCCACAAAGGAATAGCAGGGAGAGAGAGGAGAGGCCCAGGAACCAACACTGGGGCACACCCACAGTATATGTTTGGAAAAAAGAGGTGACATTGGCAAAGGACCAGCCAGTAGACCAAAAACAGAAAGCAGACAGAGCGATGGGCTGGAGGTTGAGTGAAGCAGGAACACGGGGGAGGAGGGATCGAAGAGCTGGGTCAAATGCTGCCGAGGGGCCAAGCATGATGAGGACTGAAAATTGACCGCTATATTTAGCAACGTGGGGTCACTGATGGCCTTGACAGGGCAGTTTCCATAGAGTGACGGATCAGGGGAAAACTAGAGTGGGTGTAAAAGGGGATGGCTCAAGAGTAGATGCAGACAGTGAGTTTAAACAAGTCCTTAAAAATTTGCTGCAAAGACACAGAGTGGCAATTTGTGGGGGTGATTTAGGGTCAAGGAGTGCTGTTTGTTTCTTTTAAGAGGATGGACGTTTATATACTGATAGGAGCCAACTAGCAGGAGAACAAAATAGATGAGGCAGTGAAAGAGATTATGGTTTTGGGAGTGACAACCCAGAGAAGATGGGAGGGATGGGGCCCCAGGGACTTTTGGAGGATCTGGCTTTCAATGTCACTTGTAATAAGAGGCGGGGCAGAGAGAGTGAGGTCACAGACATCAGAAGGCGAGAGGATGTGCCGGGAGTTGCATGTGAAATTTCTCTTCTGTTGGCTTGTTTGCTTGTTCAAAGTAGAAAAGTAACTTTACCAGCTGCGGAACGACGAGGAAGAAAGTGTTACTGAAGCCATGATCAGAAGATAAGAAAGAGCCTTCCAGGGAGAAAGGGACAGTGAAAAGAGCAGGGGGATACGGGGGAGTGCGCTCCCAGAAAGTTACATTTTCTTTTTGACGTCCCCAAATGTGTGATGTGTGATTACCCTTCCTGCTGTCTATGAAATAAAAATTAAGTATCATTCAGAGAAAATGCTATTTCATTCTAAGAGGCTGCCTGTTTCTCAGGAATGGTCATTTTAAACTGCAAACATTATAAAAAATTTTGAAAAGATGAAACTGTGTACCTAAAATCCCCTATTTTCTATTAATCTGGTTACTATTTAGTTCCCCTATCAATATACATAACCAATACTGTCATGATGGAGGTACATCGATGGTTAAAAAGAAATGAGATCTGTATCCTTTTCCTAAATTCCATGGCTTCCTTAATATGCAGTTCCCCTTAGAATTTAGGAATGTCTGGTATAAGAAGTGAGAAACAGTTTGAGAAAATCCCGGCTCAGAATTACACAGCACAACCGCATCTCAGAAGTATATGCAGCCGTAAAAAATTTTAGAAGCAAAACTCTGTAACTTTTCTTAAAAACTTTTGCAAACCTGGGCCTGCCCAGATGTTTCCAAACTGGAAAGGGACTCCAATCACTTGCCTGGTACCAGCACCAGAGGCTGACCAGCCTTTTCTGTAAAAGCGAGAGAGTAAATATTTTCAGTTTTGCAGATCATTTTGTTGTAACCATTCAGGTCTGCAATAAGAAAGCTAAGAGCACTGGGAGACAGGAAACAAATGGGCATGACCACACCCTCCCTTCCACTCAGGGCAGCTTCTCTGTGGTGGGGAGATTTGCCACAATCACTTGCTTCTTTGTTTCCATTGGTTTTTTTTTCCACCTTACTGCTCAAGCTCAGAACTTCAGGTGGGCCTTGTCCTTCAGCATCCATTCAGAGAGAAGGCTGAGCGGGGGTGGGAACCCCACCTGATGGAGAAGAAAGATTGCTGGGAGGGACACTGCGGTGGCCACCATGACACGAGACATTCACACCTTCGGGGTGAAAGGGAAAAAAGACAAGGGAGGGACACAGCAGTGGGTCTCCTAGGTCGCCTGCCAGGCTTGCTCTCCCTCCACAGCCACCCTGGGGGCCTGCAGGATGTTGGGCTTCAGCTACTGTGGTTAGGCTGGAGGAACTCAAGATAAAGGACACTCCACCTCCTCACTAGGTTCCAAGCACAGCCCCTCTAAGTCCACCATCTGAGTTTCTGGAACTCAGCTGGAAGAATACATGATCAGGCCAGACCCAGAGCCCAAGCCAAACACGACAGGGGTCACGTGGGGTTGTAACCTCGTGCTCAGTGGTAGGGGAATCCTTGCAAATCTGCAGAAATCCCTGTTCTGCCTCATTCCTGGGAGAAACCCCAGATTTACTCCTGCTCTCTCTGTTCTTCTCTTGAGGCTATTGTCCTGGAGGGATGCAGAGTCCTTGAACCTGGCCCTCCAAATCTACATAAGCAGCCTGCTCAATAAAGCAGATTATGCACTTTTTCACATTTGTCAGTTTTTTGATTCCAGAAAGGCTGTGGGACTCATTCTCACAGTCTCCTGTGCCCCCACCACTTGGTGGCCCTCTACTCATGGAAACACAATTTCCCACAACTGAAACCTGCCTCCCAGCTGGTCAGAGGGGAGTGTCCCACAAAGACACAGGTGTTTATGAGGTCCTGTCCCCCAGCAGAAAGAATACTCCTGGAGCCACGGTCAGGAATCTGGCCTCCTGAGCCGCTCAGCTCTAATTCAAAGCCTAAAGTGGGGACCCCGAACATTGCTGAATGACTTTCTGAGTCACCTGGACTGGAGGGGCCTGATTTTTCTTTCCAGGAATGGATTTAGCACAGCCTCCATTTTCAGGGCTGACATTGATGATGGATCTAGTCCCCCCCCCCCACTGCACCACAGGAAGGAGAGGCCCTTACATCCCACAGCTTGGAAACCCAGCCCAGGGAAGTTCTGAAGCATTGCATCGCTGCCAGGTCCAGCATCCCTGCAGAGTGGCCTCTGCCCCTGAATGAACCCCTTCCCTGGGCCTTTCCTGCCCCAACACGACCACAACCCAGGCTGTGCCAGAGCTCTGGGGCTCTGCATGTCCAGGGCACACAGGTGGGACCTGAGCCAGGTGTCCTCTGGGCCTCAAGGGGGAGAGGTCTGCCTCTGCATCAGGGGAAGGTGACCCCACATGGCTGGCAGGACACTCAATATGGACCTCCAGGAGCTCTGGGAGCAGTTTCCCTGCAGGTGTTAGGAGCCATCATCAGGAGGGCAGGCCCCTCTTTGTGCAGACCATCCCACAGTGCTGGGCCCACGTGCTGACCACAGAAATCTACATGCCCCCAGGGTACCCCAGGCAACCTCACAACTTCATCACTTGGTGACCTGGGTACCACGGGCTCCTTGGCCATCCCATGAGGGTGGTCCTTGCAGGCATGGTCTCCAGGTGCTCCCATTAAGAAATCCCCCTGGGTTTCTGTGGTCACAGAGCCCACACCAGAAGATTCTATTCCTGCAGTGACCCCCACAGCAGTCTGCTCCCCTGTGCATGTCCAGGGACAAATGACAGTAATTTATTGCCAGGAACCATGATGAACAAGGAGGTGGAATTCCATACAAAGTTCAGGATCCTGATAACTCACTCTGCACCCCAAAATGCATCCATGAGAAATGTGTGTATTGGGATATCTGTGCCCCTAGAATTGCTGTTCCTGAGGGCTCCTGGGACCCTCCAGCCCTTCTCAAGGTTCTCAGAGCCTGGGTTTAAATTTCTGTCTCCCTCTTTGGTGTACGACAACCTGTGTCTCGTGGTCACGGGTCACTTTATTGCATGACTTGGCATGTTCTTAGTGCTCGTCCTCCACCCCTGCACTAGACTCCCAAGATGTTCCCACTAACCCTTGGCTCCCTGTGTGGGTCAGGGGGCCCTAAGTCTGCACCCTTCACTCTCCTCCTCTACCCCCACCACTGGGGCCACCTCTAGGTGGACTGGGAGGTGTTTGTAAATGAGTCTTACACAAGGACATGACTGGACAAAGCAGTACCCACCCCCGGAAAGCACACCTGCTCCCTTCTCTGAAGAGGACCCCACAGCCCCACATTGCCTCCCAGGGGTCTACTCAGGACACAGTCCCCCAGATCTGGCAAGGCATCTCTCTGGAATCCTTGCTTCCAGGAAGAGTCTCTCTGTCCTTCTTCATAGTTTAGAGTTGTTCCCATGTCCCTGACCACCAAGGTGCCCAGCACAGACCCTTTAGTGTCCTGGAGAGACAAGGAAGATATGTGGCCACAGATCTCACAGGACACACCTGCTGGGACTCTAGGCCAAAGGGCCATCCTTCTGCCTTCTCAGGTGTGGATCCCGTGGTACCTTTTTGCAGGGGGTCCAAACGGGGAGTGGGGCCCAAAGCAGTTTATGGGGCTCTCTGGGCAGGGAAGACTTGGGCCAGGCGATCTTGCCTGGTTTCCCTGCTGGGCCACTCTGAAAACCCCCGCTCTTCTGGCTGTGGCTGGAGGCCCCCCAAACCTCAGGGCGGGCCGTTTCTCTCAGCCTCCACTGCCTCCAAAGCCACGCTGGTGCTGGCGTGGGGAAAG